ATACTAAAACAATTATTCGCCTCAGGTTTGGTGAATATTGTCGAATGATCCCCTAGACTTCGTCTCGGGGATTATTCGACGATATTCAACTCGCCTTCGGCGAATAATTGTTAAATATAACTAAATATGTACTAATTGTGAACTGTAGCTAGCACTGTTAAAAGGGCTCGATACACATTTGTGTAGAGCGGTATATAACATTAAGTGACTAGAAGAAAACACACATGATTCGCTGCAACTTTGAGTTTCGTCCGTTAAGCATTCATCAGGCAGATTTAGTGAAGAGGCAGTCCTATCTAGGATTGCTTCTTCATTAAATCTGCCTGATGAGTGCTTAACGCACGAAACTCAGAGTTGCAGCGAATCATGTGTGTTTCCTTCTAGTCATTTAACTATATGTATATATATTTTTTTCTTTCTTTTTTAAATTTAAATTAATTAAAATCATTATAACTTTCAACCTTCACCTCCCTTCCCCCTTTGCGGCCTTATCCCGAATATCATTCACACTGTTTTAGAAAGCTTCAAACATGGTTAAACACACTATCGTAGAAATTATTCAATCTAAATCTAATCTAAATCTAAATATCGTTATGTCTGCAAAATCGTTTAAGACATCACGCCAACTCTGTCAATCTGTCAAATCCATTTACTCTTTTCACTTCGGCATCAGCATGTGTATGCTATACACTGTTGTCTATGCATTTCCCATAAGGCTAACAAGAAAAGCGTTGCGTTTTTGTTGGCGATCTTTCCGTCAATCATTCCTCTTCTTCTCATTACCCTCAATATGTGTATGTAAGTATACCACAGTGTAACTCTTGCAATAGGACTCTTTAGGGCCAATACGATCAAATTGGAACCAAATGAACAGTAGGGATTTCATTTAAAACTCCAACTGGCATGAAGCAGGCCTGTTGGCTGCACATGTCTACAAAGCGCATCTAAAAAAGTTGAACTCGGAGCAACCACGAACAAATCCAGGAGTAGCTGGGCGGAGGACTTGAGCTCAGGACCACAAGATTACTAGCCGCGCGCCCTAACCACTTGACTCCACTGGGATTCAACAGTAACATCGGGTGCTAGCCACTCTTACGGATTAATAAAGGGTGGATTTTGTCCTTTATTCCTCGACATACATTCAAGTGGCTCGTCCAAACGGTTCCTCAAAATCACAGAAGCAACGTTGCTCTTGGCAAATGTGCCTACTATTTTGGAAATTAAGTATGAAAAAGCGACCTCAAGATAGAGCGTATCAGATATAAAACAAGCACCGCGAACAATGTTGAAAGACTTTCAAATTTGATGGAAATGTCACTACCTCATGAGCAAATTTTCAGAACGCTCTACTCATTACCCTTCGCACCCTTACGTCAGTATGCTTATTTTCCATACTGTTCTCTCTAACAATTTCTGAGGTGCCGAAAAGGATATTTTTTTTAACAGCCAAGAGCCTCTCGAGGTGGTGATCAATTCCTTATTGTTCTCATGATCTTAATGCGTGATTAAGGGGTACCATTGTAAGAAAAAATTTAATGTTAGTCACTCTGGGGTAAAAGGGTCAACTTAAGCTCTAGAAAGAAAACGTATGCAAATGAATAACCTAAAAAGAAGAACCAATGGCCCTTTCCTGACGGGTTCTATCTCGTAAATTTCTCTGAGCTTAACAACAATTGCAGACCCAAAGGTAATAAATAGGAGGGACAGCACCAATGGTGAACACCCCAACTAACGAACACACGATGATGCATTTATCTTACTTTAATTAATTGAAGTAACTCAAAATCATTGGTACAAAATCAGCTAAATATATTTTACTGCGTATGTCTAACAAATTAACAATAGTTTTGATATATTCTTTGACACACCACGATGTCAAGATTCCTAAGCATTTCCTCCTATGATAAAAATCATTCCCAGAGAAAACTGTTATCAATGGATAATATATATGATCAAAATTATGATTGTTACATGAAATCTACTGAAAATTTTAACGTGTCGATCCACACATACTATAAATCTAAAACAAGATTAATTTCAATATTTTACCTTTAAGTTTATCAGGATTCCATCACCATCTCATTGGGAACACTGCTCGCTATCCAATCAGTGATAGATAGCAGGCAAAGTGAGAAGCCTTTTGCTGTGCGATTGCAAACAAATTACAACGAAAACACGAACCTAACTTATTGTTAAGGTTGGAACTACTGGTATTTTATACCAAAACAATTAAGATTCCCCGCTTACTTTCTGGGCCCAATCGCGGTTTTGAGTTTCCCCTTCATCAACTTCCACGCGATAGAAATCTCGAGCTTAATACTTATACAGTTATAAAGATGACAAAAAAAAATATTCCCGTTCCCTTCTAAGATATTATTAATACCACGCGACTACTTGAATAAATAGTACCAACCACGTTCATTAAATGAATGCTTTAAATATCCTACAAAATATGCAGTAAGCTATTTCTGTACTGCAATCACTAAAAATTAGAACGTTACTCCTGCTTGGGTATAATTCCTTTAACATTATATCGTCAGTACAAGCTCCTTTAACTCAAAACACTTTCTGAACACAATTTTGGTTTCCATACTACCAATAAACAAATACATCGTAGGATCATTACTTGACCTACCAGACCTAAAAAAGAGCTGTTAACCTCTATATCTAAGTATAACGTTACCTTTAAGGCATGAAAAAGACAGCGATTTGCGAGAACTAAACTACTGACTAAAGCGTAAAGCAAAATTTAGTGACTTTCTATTTAGAACCCAAACTTAACCTTAAACCGCACAGTTGATTAGTTACTCCACATATGCGAATCTTAATTTTTTTCGTGTGTTAAAATTAAGCGATTTCATGTGTACATACTTGGATATGAACACATGAGGCGAAACGAGAACGAAGCTGCGACAGAAGCCCTTAGATTCTGTATCTAGAAAAATACTTAAAGACTACGAAAATACCTCACTATCAATTTCGAGAAAGGTTTCTCAGAGGGTGCCTCGTATATGAATACTAAACCGGTAGATTTAGTCATGGTTTACACTTAGTAATGTATAGAACATCTCACAGTGTCGCTTTAGGACCCATGTCCACGATCCTATCACAGAAATCCTGACTGGCAACATACCACTTAACTAAGAAGGGCTACAGTGACTCGAACTCGCTACTTTAACAAGAAAGTATTATTTCCTAATAATAAAAATAACTTTTAAGTAAATGTCAATGTGACTACCCCTCACACCTAAACAGAGCTAAACACTTATTTTGGTTACGAATTGTCATTTTACTTAAAGCAAGTCCGACTTGCTTTTACTACTTATGTGTCTTCTTATACAACATTTATCCATGTAATTGCATTAAAATTATCCTATTACCTTCACTTAAGTTACAAAATACATTACGTTACCATAAAACTGCAAAAGCCGAATTAGGTACATTTTTTAATTCTAAAAACATTTTTCCAACCTAACTTTTCCTCTTCCTCGAGGTAAACTACATTGTTATAACTCAAGTGACACGAGGGCTATGATGACAGAAAAAAAACTAAGAAATTTTAAACATACTGAAGGCTGACTGGTTCACTAAATAACAATACTTGTTGCTTAAGTGTACAAAACTGTTAAACATAGAGCCGCCGCTGATGAACTTCATCAACGTTCAAATATGAGCGAACACGTCATTTCCCTTATCCTGACAACCAGCTGAATATTGCACGTTTTTCATCAGGTTCTTTGGATGACGGTTAAATTTACTCTTACCAAATTACTGTGAATCGCAAATGAAGATTTTAGTTTTGATTCTTATAATTACATCTAAGTATGAATACTACGCTAAAAATTGTTAAAATTAGATTTAACTGCCAATCCGCCAAGCCAGAAATGGCTTCGTCTTCCTTGTTCACTGCAAGAATGTACAATGGGTTAGAGAAATATACGACGATTAACAACAGCTCCTAATGGAGAAAGTATTTCTTCAATTTGGCAAAGATGATTTTCACTCAAAACCTGATGAGAGACTAGAATTACAAAGGCGAAATGTTTTTGGTTTACTCCTCATTGTATCTACCTCTGGTTACAATATTGGTAAATAAAATAGAATAAAACCCTCACTCATCTGCTATGCAAAAGGACAAATTGTTTCTTGTTCTTTCGAGAATAACGCTAAGCAAAAGGGTCGTTGTCGCCTTGTTTTTCATCAGGACTTAAGGTACGTAAATTCTCTGATTCACAGCACTCTTTAGGAACTTAACAATTGATGCAAAAAAAAACAAAAAACAAAACAAAACAAAAACAAGGAGATTATTTAAAAAAAAGTGGATTATTGGACCAGTCAAGGTTTAAATTCATCCACAACTTTAAGTAAATAAGTAGCATTTTTTATTCATTAAAATGAATAAAGGCTGATAGTTTCTAAAGAAACTGTTTGGGGCTGCGTCGGTGGGGGTAACGAAATAATTTGAATATATCAACAAAGTTGAAATGGTAAATTGGCCACCGTTACGATTATAAAAGCTGACGTTTCGAGCGTAAGCCCTTCGTCGGAGCGAAGGGCTAGCGCTAACTCTAACGTCGGAGCGAAGGGCTAACGCTCGAAACGTCAGCTTTTATAATCGTAACGGTGGCCAATTTACCATTTCAACTTTGTTGATATATTCAAATTATTTCATTAAAATGGTCGCCATATGCCAGCTCAAGAGTAAACAAACAAACAAACAGACAAACAAATAAACAAGTAGAGGAAATGGAAGTTAACAGGTGGGTGTGTTTTGTAATTCAAAATTTTCCTAATTTTGAGTTTCAATTATTCTTTGTCATGAGGTACGGTCAGTATTTGAAACAAAGGAACGTAAGGTTCAAAGGAAAGATAAGAATGAATCGGTGCACAAACGGATTTCGTTAGTACCGTCGATCCTCAGTTATGCGGACTCGTGGGGACTGGGCTGAATATATATCTAAATGAATTTTCCACAGCGAAGTGGAAGGTAGGACCGTACAAGTTTCTTTGTATCTTCTCATTGCGGCTGACAATCTGCCTGCTCATGGCAAAGAATACCAGCGCATACAACGAAAACCATAGGGATACGAAAGGCGAATAAATTTGAGTTTTGAAGACATTTTGTTTTCGTCATTTACTTACTATGCTATACGCAATATCATTGAAGAAAGCTAACAGCTGAAAACCAAATAAGAACATAGGCTCGACTAAAAAGGTTTGCGATATTTGCAGGCACTTAGACTGCAGTAACGATTGCGTACTATGGTTTATAAAGGCAACTGCAGAAGTGGTCTTCATGTTGAAATTATAAACACATCACTCAGGAAAACGGTTACGTCGATTTTGAATTCTTAAATACTCGAGAAAGAAGCAATTTCCAACATCTTACCACCGTCTTCTATCATTAAATGCTAACGACAAATCCCACCGGTCCGCTGCTGTTTCTGTCACCAGCAACACCCATATCAGGGGATGGATCTTCGCCCATACTGGGGGATGGATCTTCGCCTTTATCCGGGGATGAATTTTTTTCCACATTTGATTCGTCTTCCTTCTCGTCATTTTCCTTCTCGTCATTTTCCTTCTCGTCATTTTCCTTCTCGTCATTTTCCTTCTCGTCATTTTCCTTCTCGTCATCTGTCTTCACTGGTACGCGAAGGAATTGAGTTATTTCTGCGTATTCTGTTCTCTCATATTCGGGGGGCATCTTAACCGGTGTGGTTGGAGGGGCGGGTGCCTTCTGATGGAATTCCCCAAGATCAGCGTACATTCCTTCACCAGGTTGCGCTTTCTGTTGATAAAACAGAGTTGAACTAATATGACCCCTGGCGGCCACCAGTGGTTCAAACGTTTTCGCAGTTTGCGAGTTCCAGCTAAAGCAATCAGTGATTCTTACGTTTTCGTGGTATAGCAGATCTTTTTCACACTTTTACCGTTTGGTGGAGCAACCAAACGGTAAAATAGAGGGGCAACGGTTCGATTCCTAAACAACGATTACGAGTTGATTTCTGCATTCTAAGTTCAGCTGTATGAATTCCAACCAGTTTGGTTTCTACTCCTTTCCCTATTCAAAACTGTGATTTCCTACACTTTTTAACGGAAACTATCCCTTCCTTGCAGAACTTGAAAGAGTGAAACAAATGTATAAATAAAATAAAAAAACAGCACCCTCGACAGTTCACGATCTTTTGAGAAAACTGAGCGTCTCTCAAAAACGTGTGAGCGAATTGCTTTGAAATAACCCAACAACGCTCAAACTTAGTTTGCTTTCCTTTCATTTCAATGTTCTTAATTTTGTTCCTAACAAATCAAACTAAACGAATCAAAAGGTATCAGAAATTACTGTAAGTGAAACATGTATTTGTACTGAGATCAAGGAAACATACCACCTAAAATGAACAATGTATGAAAACGCATGGTTTTATTAGATTTTTGAGCAGGCAGTTATGTTGCACTTTAAGATTTCACAATTAGCAGTTAATTTTCAACAGCAATAGGCATCTATTGCTGCATCAAAGCAGCAAACTGAAGCAAATCACAGTTTATTCATGTGAGCTCTAAATAAAAATGTATGTTACATTAACTGTTGAAATATCATAATCTGCATTCTAATTCGTGAATGAACTGCAACCTTACAGGCAATCCTGATAACAATCAGTGTTGGATTTCAATGTATGATTATCAATTGACTTGTAATCATGAGTTCCTCTAAATTAGGGGTTTACACTAAAAACTTAAACAGTTCTTTTAATCAATTTACAAGAATTTTTAAAAACTCTTACACACGTAGTATTTTAAACTTCGAATTAAAGTTGTTACAAGTTATCTTCATTCTTGCTCAGTTCAGACGGAAGCTTTATTACAGCTGGATAACAAATCTTGCATCCTGTCGATAGGCAATAATTTGCTCCTACTCCAAAGCAATGCTCTTTGTGTTGGCAGTGAATCTTGTCTTCTGTGATGTGCATTACGAACAGAACAGTATGTCTGACTTTGAGAATACAAAGACCTCAACTTCAATCTGGAGTTTTTATCTTCATGTGTGCTTAAAGGCTTTGAATGAAATATTTTAGACTACTTCGGTGTATAGCATGAAGGGTAATATTCAGTGTCATCTTCTTCATTCCAAAAGCTGCTAGTGTGCCTTTAAAATGTTGCTTAGTTGGTGGAAATGGGCGCTCTTGACCACAGAAGCTTTGGTCTTCGGGAGATCTTTCTTGAATGATCTGGTTTTAGTTTACATGGTCAGTTTAAGGTCGAGTTAAAATTCGAAGGCATACATCTGGGTTGTAGTACGCTGTTGCAAATCATTGATTCATTTATTGACTATTGCTTGCTTAAATTTTCGAAAAACGACAACTTTTCCAGACTTGTCTTAACCCTAGATTAGCGCATATGTGTAAGTTAATGTGTTATCACTTCATGGCTCAATTTATGTGCTTGCGGTGAAAAATTTGGTGATTTAAGACTTTATTTGAACACGAATGAAACATGAGTTGTGAAAGGAAAAGCGTGAGGCCTTATAGCACTACAAGTTAGAGTACTGTGCTGGACAAGGGCATGAGTATGTCACCTTTTTAAGAAGTCAAGTTGTGACAACTGAATATGAATCTACAAATTGTGTGTTCAAGGCGGCAAAGCACCGTGACATGGTGCGCCAAATTAAAATAAAAAGGATCCACTACAAATAAGATTGGAGATCATTGCCCTAAATATCGTTCGCGAAATTGAGAGTGAAGTCACAAGAGCAATACAAATAACAAGTTCGATAGGAATTGAACCTAGATATCTTTGAGCTTAGCTTACCTTTGTCATACTGGAGTCGTTGATTGTAATCCCAGGCGTCTGCGCTGGATTTGGAGTTATCCCCTTAAATGTCACCATCTCCTGGCTCTGGCCATTCGTGCCGTCATAGTGATATCCTTGATTTACACTTCCATAAACGTTACCTGGAGACGTCCTCTCTGCTGAACCAGCAGTGCTATCAAGCCAGAGAGGCAAATAGACATATATATAAATCAGTGAAAGTAAAATATTATGGCATAAAGTCATTGTCAGTGCCTCGTAATATATAGCTGATCCGTTCATATTTGACATAAGAAAGAGCCACGAAGTAGGCATAAAAACTCACAGAAAGCCAATGCTGGAGCCATTTCTAAGGTGATTGTTTCTAATACAGGTTACCTGGTACCTGTAAGTTTACGTCGATATTTTCAATGTGGCATTCTTTAAATCAAAATGAAATTCCCTAATTTCTTGGCATTTTAAAAAAGGAAAGTTGGTAGAACAGCAAAGCCAAAAGGAGAGATATTTAACCCAAGGCGGTCTTCAATCGTAGGTTAACACGACCAGCAAGTTAAAGCTCGTCTTAGAATATGTTTTTTTATTTTTTTATTTTTTTATAAATTATATTTATAATTATTTTCCTTTTTCGGGGGCGGTGTTGTTCACTTGTCTATTGTTTGATTGTATGTGCGTTATAAAATCAAAGAAGAGCCTTCATCTAACTCTCCCTAAAATAGACCACAGCTTGCGATCTGTCTAAAGCCCTTAATTAGAGCATACTTCGCTTTACATAACAACGTAACAAATCGATAACCAGTCTTAACCATTTACGCGTATTAACAACAATCATTTAGGCAACATAGATATTATATATCACTTTCCAAAAAGAAAAACCTCTCACCCGTTTGGATCTGCCCTTTCATAGTTACCTGTGAGTAAAAAAGAAAAAAAAGAAGGGAAAGAAAAAAAAAACAGTCGTTTCAACTTGCAGAACGGGCTTAATTTGTTTCCCTTTTTCCCTTCTTCCATTTTTCCCTCGAAATTCTGTATCATTTATAGTTTTACCACAGTTTCGGCGACAGGAATAACCAAAACGAATGAAAAAGCCCATGTTATTCATCCTTATCGGTTATAGGCTAAGAGGGCGAGAACATGGCGTCGAGATAAATGTAGAAACATTCAAACTCAGTGAGACTGCTAGGACTAATTCTCCTTACCGTTTGAGAACGATGCAACGTCTGACTTCTTCTTGTGCAAACCGTAAGCTATTACTGCAACGATGATTGCCAAAACTGCCACACCTCCAACTACACAGAGTACGATCAAACCAGGCTTGGCTAGAAAAGACAAAGAAATAAATAGTGTGGTGTAATAAGGCCAGGCACAGATTACTCCATTAATATCATAGGTGACAAATTACTCCTTAATTTTGGCGCGAAATTTCAGCGTTAATCTTTAATTACACATGCGAAATTACAAAACTGCCATGGTAACATCTCTTGTATCCCAATCAGAGCCAAAATGGCGTCGAGATTTAAGAAACATTTAAAAATATTTGAAACATTATTAACAGGCACGAAGAATTCGAAAGGTATTTTTTGTGAAGAAACTCAGAAAATTACGAACTTTAACAATAATCTACGCTTTAAACGAGAACTATATTCTTCTTCATGTTCTCGGTTTTCGATAGGATAAACCAGTAAAAAAAATTACGGCTGTGAACGTTATTTGTCACCCACGATATTAAAAGGTAATCAAATGGTTTTCTCGCGAAATTAGGAAATAATTTCCCTTGCGTTTTGTCAAAATTCTCAAATTTCCTTCGCCTAAAAGGCTCGGGAAATTATCAGAATTTGACAAAACGCAAGTGAAATTATTTCCTATTTTCACTCGTTGCCATTTGATTATATATAGATNTTGAGAACGATGCAACGTCTGACTTCTTCTTGTGCAAACCGTAAGCTATTACTGCAACGATGATTGCCAAAACTGCCACACCTCCAACTACACAGAGTACGATCAAACCAGGCTTGGCTAGAAAAGACAAAGAAATAAATAGTGTGGTGTAATAAGGCCAGGCACAGATTACTCCATTAATATCATAGGTGACAAATTACTCCTTAATTTTGGCGCGAAATTTCAGCGTTAATTTTTAATTTCACATGTGAAATTACAAAATTGCCATGGTAACATCTCTTGTATCTCGATCAGAGCCAAGATGGCGTCGAGATTTAAGACGGTGACCCTTGAAGAAGTTACGAAATTAAAAGAAGCGGCCGAAAATTATTAACAGGCACGAAGAATTCGAAAGGTATTTTTTGTGAAGAAACTCAGAAAATTACGAACTTTAACAATAATGTATGCTTTAAACGAAAACTATATTCTTCTTCATGTTCTCGGTTTTCGATAGAATAAACCAGTAAAAACAATTACGGTTGTGAACGTTATTTGTCACCCACGATATTAAAAGGTAATCAAATGGTTTTCTCGTGAAACWAGGAAATAATTTCACTCGGCAAAACTGRAAATTCTGATAATTTTTGACAAAACGCATGCGAAATTATTTCCTAATTTCACTCGTGGCCATTTGATTACACATACTAATCATGTCAGCAGAGAAGTGATAAAGTGAAGATTAGATTCGACTTGATAGCGAGTGGATATGTACATAGGAGCATCTCTCATTCCCTGTTTCTACATCAATTTGGAGTTTGGCTTGTGGATTTGAAGAAAGAAAATAAGGAGCTTGGGGAAGTATTCTCGCGTGAATCCACGAAGAGAGCAAACGAAAATTTAATCACGAACGTGACTGTTAGGAAGACAGTTACCGAGTTGATTAGCGCGCGCGCTTGGACACCTCGTAAGCTTTTTCATAGGCAAGTTACGCGTACGATTTTTGCGTGTGCGAGTCTTAGTTTTGAGTGTTTGAGTCGCAATGCTCGATGTTGTTGGTGTTTTTTTCACCGTGTTACCGTTTCCACCGCTTCCGAAAAGTGACCGTTGGTTCCAGTTTTACGATCGTCTCGTTAACCCGTTGGGACCGCAACTTCATTTCGAAATCAGTACTCGTGTATTAATAATGAGGGTATTGGCACAAAACCGCTCCATTGCGTTTAACTTTCCGAATTTTTTTTTTTTTTTCGAATTAACACACTTTTTATCTATCCTGATATTGAACGTAAACACAGCAAATAAAATGACACCGTTTGGCAAGTGGGAACTACTAAGACTTCCCCAGAATCAAACCCAAGCCACAGGCGTGCGCTCCTATCAACCCACCATCCAGGAATACCTTATCACTAATGATATCAAGATGTCATTGCAGCGAACACAAGGCACAAAAAACAGACAGTGCATCATAAGCTTGCAAGCATTTGACCTTGTTATCACAATATTTGAAAAAGTATTTTTGGATGAATGGACTTTGATTCCAACAAGAACCTTAGAAGACCTTGTAAGATTCTTGTAAGATAATATAAGTCCTCAGAAAGATCATAACGAGATTCTTACAAGAATCTTCTAACATCTTACAGGAGATTGTTAAAAGAATCTTCCAACATCTTATATGAGATTCTTACAAGAATCTTCCATCATCTTATAAGAGATTCTTACAAGATCATAATGAGATTCTTACAAGAATCTTCCAACATCTTATAGGAGATTGTTACAAGAATCTTCCAACATCTTATATGAGATTCTTACAAGAATCTTCCATCATCTTATATGAGATTCTTACAAGAATCTTCCATCGTCTTATATGAGATTCTTACCATAATCTTACAAGATCTGGTCAGATTCTTGTAAGAATCTTTACACGAGAATCTTACAAGATCTTGTACGGTTCTTGCAAGAATCTTATTTAAGACATAAGGTAAGATCTACGTTAAACAGTAGAACATCTACACACTAAACTTGTCTTTCGTTACTCAGCACCAGATATAATAGTCATCTCCCTTTCACTAAATTCTACTCAAGAGTTTCACTGACTTACTCCATTTCAATTTTTACCTTTTTTACAATCTTCTCCCTCAAAGAACGTTCCACAGTCTTTCTCGGATGTATCTGAAGTTTGATACACGGATTTGTAAATAATTGAACGAAAATACAAAATGTAAAAAAAAATGTTGGTATGAATACAGAAAGTAATCTTCATAACTTGTACATGTATCACAAAAGACTGTGATAAAAAGAAAAACTGACCAAAACAAAGATACATACAACCTTACAAAAAAACCCGCCTTTAATTCAGTTTTAAATGTGTAACCACCCAGACACATTTCATTCATCATTACAGGTCCTTTGGGAAACAGAAACCCCCGACCTACTTATTCTAAATGCAGTTAAGCCGGCCCAGGGAAAGGTTAATTAAACTCTGACTTTGTTTAAAACGACTCAAAAAGTTAGCTTTTAAAGTGAAAAGTCATCAACTGAGTCTCCCAAAATCTGGCGTGTCGGATATTGGAGATTAACAAAGCCAAATGCTTTGTTCTGCAAAACAGCAACAATTAACCAAGACAGAGGAACTAACCTGGGAAAGTTTCTCCAACGACCGCATCTTCAACTTCCATACTGCCAAGTTTTCCCTTGTTCACTGCCTGCGTCAGCAGTGCATCTACACTACTTTGGCCAACAGACTTGTTAAATGTTAGTTCCAAGTCAGCAATGATACTTCCGGGCCTACAAGATATACAAGAAGTCAAACATTTTTTAGCTGAAAACGACAAAATAAATAGTAATGTGGAAGCACCGTAGCCGAGATGCTTTAAGCGCTGCAGTTTACAATACAATACAATAGACTTTATTTCAAGAGGGTAGCACGTGACAGTAGTTAAACTGATGATCCTGTGGCCCTCTACCTATGTACCTATATATACAATACTGTTAAGTATTATCCTCTTATTTATCATAATTAATAGAAAATCATTTTAATTAACAAAGAATCTAAAATGGAGCACTAAAATTGTTAGTTTCTATCTAGCTTTTTAAAAGAGTGTTTATTAGTCTCTTTTTGAAACTTTGTGTGTCCTTAGAGTTTCGGAGCGTTTTCTCTAAATTATTCCATTCTTTGATGGATCTAACTGTGAACGTTTGTCATTGCTTTGGGCGTCCAAAGTACACGTATGACTTACTATGTTTCGTAACAAAACCCTGCTGCTCGCATTAAGTTGCGACGTCAAACTCGCAAATTGTAGCACAACCTTAGGTAGAACACTCTCAGTGTCCATCACGGACATACACCCGTGTGATGTATAGGTAAGCAGAATAATTGGTTAGCGCCCCAGGCGTTTCTTGTGCATCAGACCTGCATAAACTGCACAATAAGCACAATTTACTAGAAAGTTTCTGATTTAACGTACACAAAGTTTGAAAACCTATTACCTCAGTTTCAGCACCTTAACACTCGCGAGACCAGTTCCTTGGAATTCGGCTATCGTCTGAAAAAAAAAGAAAACAAAACAAAATTATATATATAGAACTGACTGCAGACAGTACTGTTTCGGCCTTTATAAATTTGTCTGACGAGTGCGTAAGCACGAAACTCAGTTACAAGGAATCATGCGTGTTATATTTTAGTCATTTTGAACTGTATATGTATATATATTTATTCAAAAGTTGTAAATAACTGAAGAAGGTCTCGGACCGAAACGTTTTTTATTAAAACTTTTTATATTTTTGACGTCAGAAGTTGTCCATCCTCGCAATTTTTAAACTTTCTACGTTCGTGTTTGCTGTGAGGTTTTAAGACTGCGAATCTTTATTGATCCTCCTGGCGCGGTGCACCTTTGTTGACCAGAGAGTTCCATTAACGACTATATATATATATATATCGATAGATAGTAGATATATATATATATATATCGATAGATAGTAGATATATAGAATAAAACAAATACATGAATCATGCACATTCATGATTATTCAAATTGTTAGACTTTTGTTTTCTGCTTTTGCTTTGAATGAAAAAAATTAATCAAAAAACTTAAATACGTGTTTCAGCTGTGACGAGCTTAGTGCTAGGAAAATGAGGAACACTGCATAAGTGGAGGGAGTGGAGGGGAGGGAGAGGGAGAAGGTGGTTCTAAAAAATCATTCGACCTAGAGATTTCTTAAAGCCTTCACACCGCCACCCTCACGTTAACACAACTATTCTCCACACTGTTCTATATGTCCTTGGGTACTGACAAGGAGAAATTTATGCCCCACTCTAGCGTCAAGTTGTTGCGGATTCACGAGGCGCAGCCGAGCGAGTCCACAACAATTTGACGACTGTGAGGACGAGTATCTTTGTCGATAGGAGAGTACAGACCACACTAAACCCTTGCCAAACTGTTAAAAAGACCAAGCTTGCTAGTTAAAGATGGCTGGATAAGCCTCTTTCTTTTCCTGCGTTTTTATGGACTTCGTCTTGGTCCATAAAAACGCCAAAACAGAACCTCGTGCCAAACATTTTACCCGTCCGGCCCTTCGACTCAGTCATTAAGGACATGTTACCAATGCACTCACATTTGTTTTAATCTCCTCGACAAGCGTTTTTGTTTCTGGATTTTCCAAGTCCTCGTATACTTGTTTAAACTCTCTCTTTATTTTAAGTCCCACAACAAAATTTTTCTTTGGTTCCACTGTTAGGAGTAAAAGAAAAACTAACATCACATAAAGCGAAAATGCATGGACTGTACAACCTTCAGTGTACAAAAAATATTTTCAGTACATCGCAAAGCTAGATGTACCTTTGCGCAGCAGACAAATCGAACATTTTCTTATCCACGCAACCGAATACCGCCACTTAGGCAGATTTACGCACAAAGGTAATTTGGTTTTCCATGGCGTATGAAGTCGCAAAACAGTCAAATGTACAAAATTTAAATTTTCGTGCGTATGTTTAAATGTAGGTCTATTCTCTGGAAGGTTAAAGGCTGATTCATTACAGAAAAGCATCAAATTTCAGTGCATGTGTGCTTGGCTTAATGTATGTTCTGTGCTTTGCAATCTTAAAGGCTGAGTCGTTAGAGGCCACATAATGTTTGAATGATTATTCTATTTGTTGATGCGCAAGTGGCCTGTATCAGGTATATACAAGTTACTAAATCAATTGGCTTAATACGAGGTACCAGTAACTACATGTGCACACCAGCGTGAAAAACGAATATTGCAGCAAAAGGAGACAATAGTTAAACTGTGGGTGCACTTAATATAAGGTTGGGGAAGATGGCAGAATGAATCAAATGCAATGGAAATGACTTTCTTTTTGCTAGAAATTCAAAAGTTGTTCTCACCTGGGACCTCACAGTTTGTTCCTGTCTTTCCCGTAGGACAGCTACAGACATTTTTTTCCCCGAACTTACTACACGATCGTTGACCAGTGCATGGTTGCTCACAGAGACCACCTATAAAGAATGACAGTGAAAAATCATGAAAGATTTACATTTTTACGTTTTAAATAAGCGTAAGCAATATGGCGACAGTAACAATCAGAGGAGGTAAGGTTGCTTAAATTCATAATCATTAAAAAAAAACAAACACAAAACAAACCAAACAAATTCAAAACAGAGACAAATAAACTATCTTCAGTTTATGAAGCAGTTTAGAGTTGAGATTTGATTTTGAAATTCTGACAAAGTTTTGGAAGAACTTTAAAAAATGTTTCTAAGTTTCACAGAAATGTGATAAAATCGCAAATACGTTGAACTCAGGGACCAGCACTCCCCATGCCTAGTTTGGACCAATTCAGACACCAAATAATTTCATAGCAAACATGCATTTAGTGGTAACCCAGTTATACCAGCAGATAAGTTTTGATATCTCCTCCATATTTGTTGCTGATATTACACCTGTATTCTCCAAGTTTCTCTACTTGGATACCAACGATAGTCCATTTTTCTGGTTCCAAGCTTTGCCTGACCCCACATGGGCCCATAACACAGTAGGTGGCAGCATGCAAGACACATTACAATAAAGTACGACAGTTCCACTCTTTACTACAGTGTGATTTCCCATGGTCACAATTGAGGCAGAAACTATGACACATCACAAAGATTCAAAGGTAGCAGAACTCTGGTTCAAAGGCGGTCGTTGCGTAAAATCATACCATACTCAACCAACATGTATGTGAAAAGAAATTATCAGAGTATTTCTCATAATCCATTCTTAGGCCCTCTTTGAATAGGTTCCTTCCTGTGCTTAGCACTGTACAAGTGAGGGTTTACCTGTTAGACAAGCTTTGCATTTCCATTCGTACACTGGCTAAGTGGTAACTTGACTTTTTAACCCAATTTCGCGACACAAACGTACCGACACACATACATGAAAAATTGACATTTTCCAGAACCCCACCAAAAACCATGCATGTGTATACATTGACAACTACAGTTTTAATCTCCACACGAAGAAGTTAAACGAACCACGTAACTAGCATCAAAGGACTTGGTGATTTGGTTACTTGAGAGTAGTTTTCAAGTGAGTGTTGAAAAACCGAAAAAAGAATAACCACAGCGACCAATTAGAAGGTTAACATTAACATTAGCCGATCAGAGCACGTAGCGAAAACAAGCAGACTTCTTGAGGCGTGACCAAGTCGCAATTGTTTTGGTTTTGCATCTGATTGGTTGAGAGGATGGCACGAGTTTTCTGGACCAATCAGAGAGCTGAATTCAGTAAAACGAAACCAATCCAAGATTGCTTGCGACACTCAATTGTATTTGCACTGTATGTGGTATCAGTCTGAACAAAGAAACACAAGAACTTTGCGAATTGTATGTCGAGCAAGATGAGCTAATTCTGATACTAACTCTCGATTTTCGATTCGTTTCTCCCCATAATTAAACGGCAAATCGCAAATAAAGGGGTCTCTTGCTGGACCTGTATTTGGCAAACATCATTACGGCTGATAAGGAGAATAATTTTGTATCCAGCCAACCTCGACCCTTAAACAAAGCTGGCAGCAGACATTCAAAATGTCGCTATTCGCATCAGAGTGGGTGTATCAATGGGAAAAGCTGCTCATTTCTTATCTATTAACACTATTAAAGTGGTCTAGTGTGAGTTACATTGAACTTCTCTTGACAATGAAAGTTGTAAGTTCTGCCTTTTCTCAAAAGTAAAGCAACAGCGTGGAAATTATTTAAAAGTTCAAGAAGTCAAGTGAAAAAATTCTCAGACACTGGATACTACCATAAAATTCAATCTTACAGTATTAACATAGCAAAATAAAAAGATCAAGGCGTACCATTCACAGTAAAAGTAACATCCGCACTGTATGTTGATCCCAAAGTATTGGTAGCCATACATTTGTAGACAAACACTCCTCTATTCTCTAATGTCTCCTTCCACATTTCTAAAAGGTTGACCTCCATGTCAGTGCCATTCTTAAACAGCTTGTATGACGTCACTGCTGGCTTAGCATCAGCTGAGCAGTTAAAGGCGATAGTATCACCCTGACTTGCTTTGCTGTCCACCACAGAAGTTGTCAATTGCACATTCTCTGGTTTGTCTTAAATAAAAGTATATCACAATCACTAAATTAAACTTCCATTGATTCCAACTAGTTGCATGTTTGATTTCACAAAATGCCTTAAGTATATTATTTACAATACTTTGCATCTTACCATACACATCAAAGACAAGTACTGTGCATTGCCAAGTGAGTCAATAATCTATGCAATATACATAAATTCCCTCTATAGGCAATTACTTACAATGCACATCAATGCTTGCCATCGCTGTTGCATTGCCACATTCATTACTGGCTTCACATTTGTATTGACCAGCTTCATTCCTTCTAATGTTCACAAGCTTCAACACATTTCCAGGAACCCTTTGATTATTGGGCTTAATCCAAGACACGTTTGGTTGAGGCATCCCAGATGCAGCACATGTCAGATCTACAGTTTCACCTTCAGTTACATTCTGATCTTGAATTGTTTCGATAGTTGAAGG